AGACTGAAATGATCAGAAAGTAGAAAATACAAAACTGAATCTAATATTCAATTAATCAGTTACAAAATTTCTTCAACAGTTTCAATATCGACAGATCTTGTAGAGAGGTTGAGACTTGTCAAGTTGTCATAAAAACCTTTTTTATACAGCTTTGGATTTTGTCATTTGGAGTAGATTATGTCTTATGTTTTAAGGATTCTTGTAAAATTAATTGATCTTTGCTTGTTTCTGAAATTTTACTTTTTTTAAAATTACTTGGCTTGCCATATGTGAAATCATCTGGATCCAGGTGGGTTTTTCTAATGTGTTGTATACATGTGTCGTTTGTGTCAGAGTTCCAGCAGGAGATGGAGCCCAGGGTAAACTGCACCAAAAAGATGCGTCTCCATGTCAAACAGGACCCGTGGAATCTTCCCAACAGCGTTCAGGCGCTGACGCAAACCATGTCCAAATACGTTGAGGGTTAGTGTGCGCCTTTAAGATTTCACAAACACAAACCAAATCAGTTAGAAATCCACAGCCATGAAGCTCATTCACACACTTTGTTTTTAAAAGAATTTTTATACCTAAACTTGAATAAAACTTGTACTTATTACAGCCTCCTTTTTGTTCATTAAATGAAATGCCAGACTGCTTCACTAAGTAACCGCTTAACTCTCTTTAAAATGTGACCGAAAACCATCCTGGGRCTCATAAATTGGGCCCTTAGAGCTGGAACTATAAACTAGCAAAKAATTAAAAAGCTCCTTTAATTTTAGTCTGGTGAGGCATTTTTTTTTTTATTGCCAGCAGGAGTGTGTGTTTTGTGTGTTAACACACTGAACTCACAGAAGCGTACTACCAAACACGGTTAGACTAACTAAAAGCAGCTACTTGGCACTTCTGGGAAAAGGTGAGCTGCTGGTCACAACAGAGAAAACACAAATAAATAGTTATTATTAATTCACAGCTCTGTCTGCGTGTGTGCGTTTTCTCTCTCCGCCGCACCAGGATGGTGCTTTCATGCAGTCTGGCTTCCTGCTTTGTAACCCAAAGCCATGATATAAACAAACATGGACTTCTGCTGTTATCTTTGCCTGCTCCTGGTGTTTCTGTGTGTTCAAATAAACAGAAGTGGAGCAGGAATAATGTTATGCAGCATTATCCTGTTTATGACTTTTAGAGGTTAATAATACAGCATGAATTATAATAAAAAATTCCATATCATTTGAAACGAGGCTTTTCACTTATATGCTGAATTTTCTTTAATTTCATTTGTTTTGTTTTTTTAGAGGTGAAGACACGACTACTCTTGGTGCTACTGCAGTACACGGGTTTGTTTTACCACCTTCTTACTTAAACAGTGAACAATAAAGGCTGAAATTTTATTATTGCACAGAAAATAAAAGAAATGAAACTGCACACTGAAGGGAAGACTCTGCTAGTAGACCTAATTATTAGCTCTACTGAAACGAAAAAGGGAAAGAAGAAAGTGTTATTTAATAATTCAAAGCACAACTTCTATTATCTCTACTTCTATGTTTCTGCGGCACAAAATATTTACCTCAGGCTGAGGTGATATATATTCAAATGAACATTTTATTAAAACATTGTAGTCAAAGTAACAGATACTTCCAGTTTAGGAGGATGTGCTGAGTGTGTAGGTCTGTATGAATATATTTTATCKTTTGAATTTATAAAACCTTTTTAGCATGCTTGTATGAACTTGTGCTTTTAAAATATACTGTAATTTATTGGAATAAAAGGAAAATCCTCTACATTTGCAATAATGACATGTATGCACCAGMGAATTTGCATTTCCTGTAAATATGCTGTGCTGGTGCTTATTGCTGAAAGACYTTTGCTGYAAGTTCCTGAAGAAGCTGATAATGTTTAATAAAAAAATATTGTTTATGTTAGTTCAGTTTGAACAGCTGACGTTTGCAAAACAATTGTAAAAATGTGTTGAAAAAGAGTGTAAATGTAGCTGAAAAGAGCAGAAAGAAGTTTAATTTAGCAGACAGATGGTAAAAGAACAATAAAGTGCACATTAGCCATTTGTGATAAAATAGCTAAAATTTTGCTGAAATGAGCTGAAAAAGGCAGAAAGCATGTTTGTTAAATTAAGCAGTAGGAAGATGAAATCATCACAAAAAATAAAGTTAGAAGACAAAAGCTAAAATGAGCTAAAAATAGCTTAAAAGGCAGACAATAGCCTAAATTAGCATAAAAAAGCAAAAAGAAGCACAAAATGTTGAATTAGTAAAGAAATAGCAGAAAGGAGCAGATAGACTGCTGAAATAGCAGAAAAAGGCTAAAATTAGCCAAAATAAAAGCCAAAACAAGCTGAAATAAGCATAAAACAAAATCCGAGTAAAAGGTAAAAAGTGCAGTAAAGACATCTTTAAGGGTTTAGGGATGCTAAAAACAGATCCATTTAGTTTCATTGAGAAATAAATGTGGACAAAAAAAAAGCTAAATAGTTGCAAAAGTACAAGTAGTTGTAATACCAAAAGTCATCATGGCACCCATGGCATTAATGAGCTGAACGTTTTCATATAGGACTTGTTGAAATGGCACAAAAATCAGTTACCTGCTGAAAAAACGTACAAATGAAAAATGGATCATCTCGACAGTCACAGTTAGATGTAATATATCCTCAGTGGCACTACAAGCATTAAAACACTTTGAACTGAATATACAACCAGTGACAAAACTGTTGGCTTTCATTAAAACCTTCAACAACCACAAACTGACATTTTTCTTTTAGCAGATGAATAACTTCTGAGTTTTTCAAGGTCATTCGTTAACTCGGTGCTGAAATTTTAGAAAGGCCTGTTTCTCCAGAAAATGTGGCAGCTAATTATTTATGCTTGAGTACACCTCTGACTGCTTTCACTTTTCTCTGACGCAATTATTTAATCCCCAACACACTTAAAAAGAGGTACCAAGCACTTCAGTCACCTCACTGAGAGTCAGTCCTGAAGACGTCTGAATAATTATCAGGAAGTACTCAGGCTGTCTCCTCAGGTCCTTTCCTTTTAGTAATCTTTGATTTTAACACTTTATACCTTAATGATTAATGTGCTGGAATAAAACCATCTCTAATGTGCTTCTGRTTCTTCACATCCAGACTCAGAGATCCAGTTACGTCGAGACATGGTTTTCTGTCAGTCTTTAGTTGCAGCGGTGTGTGCTTTCTCAGAGCACCTGCTGGCTGTCCTCAACCAGGTAAATTATATAAACTACAAGTCTTGTTTTAGAGTTTGACACTGTGTTAAAATGTTTGACATTGCGTGAGCGGATGCATTTACCTGCCATGTATGCAGCTTTGTCCTGACTGGCTTTTCTCATGCCCTTCAGTTCCACAACGTAGGAAAAGAGCTGGACCAGGACTTCCCAGACTCTCAGGATCTTCAAGAAGCCAGCCACCGGTGGCTGGAGCAGATCGAGAGTGCCGGCCTACTGTTTCTCTTCCAGTCCCTCCTCTCCCCTAATCTGGTACGCATCTCRCTTTCTGTTAAAAGATGAGCCGTATATGTTTTGACTTCAACTGACAACTTGGTAAAATTGGTGTAAAGATCAGAAGGTGCTGAATTCTTATATTTTGAACCAACATACAGTAACCGGGAGCTGCAGCGCCGCAAACGAGATGGAACTTTCCATTTATGTGTGTTGGGTTTGAAATCGACTTAACTGCCAGCCAAGACGCCGCTAGCAGGCTACCATGTGGATGCCCCAAACATACTGTAAACCAGTGAATGTGCTGAGTTTGATGCAGTCTGCCCGCAGTGACTGCGTAAAAATCTGAATGACTGAGGTGCACCGCTGAACTAAATCCCACGGCTCTGTTGTCAAGTCGAACACGTGTTCTCCATCTTCTGCAAAGCCRCTGTTTAAGCAGAAACAACTGTCTGGAGTTTGTTGTAGAATCAGCTCAAAAAACACACAAATTAAGTGCTTAAAATAGGTTTAAATGTCCTCTGAAACAGGGATAAAATAACAGCGTTAAAGTGATGTTTTCCATTTTAAAATAAAGGTGCTAAAAAGGTGTTAAACAAAAGATGAATAATTAAATTGCAGTGAATTAATGTGGCCAGTTTTTCACCTAACATAAATATAAACATAAACATAAACATAAATATTGCCAGTAGATGAGTGTAAAGTCAACATAATTAATATGGCATTAATGAAATGAAACTGAAGCTAATTAAGTCATAAAGTTTATCTATAAAATTAGAAATGTCTTTGTGCTTCTTGTGTATATTGTTACATCTTTTAAACATGTATTTTGTGTAAAATGTGACAAAAAGTTGCATGCTGAAAAAAACTAACTTGTATATTTTGCATATTTATTATCAAGCAAACAAGCACCTGATGATGAGACCTAACAGATAAAGTAAAGAGTAATAATTAATTATTTTGCCTTAATGTTGAAAAGGACAGGAGTTGTATCTGCATTATTGTTGCAATAAATCAATCTTAAGTTCAGTATTCGTTTAAATGTGCCACATGGGGAAAGATCTGCTGTTGTCAAAACATTTCTTTTTCTARTGTCGCTGTGGAGCTAAATGGGATTTTAAAAGCCACAGGTGACTCCAATAAATTCGCCCCACGATCCCTTTAAACCACTTCATGAAAGGCAGTGAGAGGAGCTGTGGTACCTGCCTTTGTGGGTTTCTGTGCACATTCAATGCTGTGTCAGAGGGGAATGTGTTCCTCTGAATTCCTTTGGAACAAACTTGCCCACAYAAACACAAGGCAGCGTTTGGCAGGGCAGGGGGGTATTCCTCTTGTCACATGTTGTGCCATCTCAAATGTGCCTTTAGAAAAAGGCCCCTAATCCTCTTCCATGCCTGCTTCATTCTGCTCTCTTCCTCTCTCTGCAGAGAGAGAATAACAGGAAGGAGTAACAGATGAGCGYAGAGCGTCACAATCTAAACTGTAGAAATTGTGTTTTCCGTTCGAATGCGAAGTGAACGCTGGGTGCTGAAATCTGCAGAAGAAGATTAGGCTGAGTTTTCAAAGCTTCAAAAAAAAAGCACAATATTCAAATCTAAAAATAGCAAAAGCCTAGCAAAAGCTAAAAGAACATTAGCTAAAACCTATGCAAAATGCTTGAGATGAGCTAAAAGTAGCACAAGATAATAAAGCAAGTCTGCTGAAGCAAATTTCAAAATAGAAATTGAAAAAATATCTGTATTTCTGTAGAGAAAATATTTAGCTATATAAAAGATAGCTAAAAGTATCAAAAGGCTAAAGCTAAAAATAGCAGAAGACTAGGTAAAAGTATCAGACAGGGACGGCTGGTATAAGTGGGCTAGTAGGGTTTTTACAAAAAAAGTTAAGATAAACAACTTAACAATGTATCACATTAAAGATAAAAGTAGCACAAGGAGAAAAAACAAAGATTTTTTTACCGAAAAAAATCTAAATCTGTGATGAAATTATTACAAGTTTACTAAAAAACAGACGTGTTGGATTTACTTTACATTGACTTTAAGTAAATGTAAAGTTTATGTAAAGTAAACACACTACCTTAACTCCATTTATTTGAGTGGAACCAGTTGACATGATCTTTTTAATTAAATCCATTACRTCTGTTCTTTWAGTGAAGATTAAAAAATACACGCAGAGAATAAACAGGAAAATACTGTAACAGTGCGAATGCAGAATCAGCGTTCAGACAACCATGAGGCTGTGACTGCAGGTGAATGTGTGCCTGTCTTTGGTCAATGAGTGGATGTTTGAAAAGTGGAAACGTGCACGCTTACTCACGAGTAAACAAATATAAACAAACWCAAGGAGACATGGAGGCCGATAAGGATGTGTGTGTAAACACATTGTCAGGCATGTAAACGTCCTCAAACTCCCTGGCTTAGCAYCAGTGGTAGTCATGAAAAGTTCAGATTTTTCTGTCCGAATGGGCGCACGCTGTGTGTCATATACAGCAATTACCTGTTGAAGTAAATCAAATGACAGGTACACTCAAAACTATAACAAAAAACGTGCTAATCCAGTCGATGTACATAAAATTCTGTATATGTTATGACTACATGATGTCAGTTACTGAAGGTTCAGCACAAGTGATAAAAACACAGCTTTCAACCTCCCCCACAATCATTACTCTTAATATTACTTTTTAACCAAAACTAGTATAAGATAAAGGAAAACAGAGCTAGCTACAGATAGAAGAGCAAACACAAAGTCACTGAACAAAGTCATATTATGCTCATTTTACAAGATAAAAAACAAAAAATAACCAAAACAAAACAAGGTGATATATTTTATTTGGTAAGTTTTAAGTWGGTAGTAATTTTAGACATCTAAAAACTAGCTACCAACCACAGAAAAGTTTTGTGTTTTTATATACTTAGCACAAAAAGAAAAAAGAAATGTGTTTTGTTGATTATTTCTTCGTTTTAACAATGCTTGGCAACAAATCTTATATTATTAGAAAGCCTTTTAAATGCTGCCAAATAAATTGTCCCATATATATAAGTATGTATGGTGTGTNTATCTGCGTTTCAAGTAAATATTATTAAATAGTAAATATAACTGTTCTTGTTCTTTTCAGACTGACGAGCAGGCCATGCTAGAGGACACTCAGGTCCCTCTAAACATCCTAGACAAATCCAATAAGAAAAGATTTTTTAAAAACCTTTTACTATTTATCCATTAATTTTGGTGGTTGTAACCTTTCAGCTGTGTACCATATCCCCCAACCTCACTGCCCTTTGTATCTGCGTTTCAAGTAAATATTATTAAATAGTAAATATAACTGTTCTTGTTCTTTTCAGACTGACGAGCAGGCCATGCTAGAGGACACTCAGGTGGCTCTGATAGATCTGGAGAAAGTCACTTTCTACTTCCAGCAATTTGAAGGAGAACCACTTGTTGCCAGTAAGTATTTAAAATCTATTATCTCGTCTTTACCATCGTCATAAAAGATGGGTAATAATGTAAATGTCTGTCTTCACCCATGTTCCTTTATCTGCAACATTTTAAACCTTTGAGCTGCTTTTAAAATCACGACATAATGTCTGTAATTGTAATTTCCTTTACCTTTTCTCATCTTCATCTGAAAGCAATTACTAACACATATTTTTCCTAATTAAACTTTCAAACATTGAGCTACAGGGTGAAACACTGTTTATATTCCACTTACTCCATTTCTGGCAGATATGCCCATTTCATACCAGGTGGAAGGCACCCGCCAGGCCTTGAAGGTCTGCTTCTACCTTGAGAGCTGCTACTTCTCCCTGCTGCCTTACAGGCTGAAGAACGGAGGTGGAGTCAAAATCTTCCCAGTACTCTTTACACAAGGTAAGCTGGTGTTAGATCGGGAACTGTAGGTCTGATAGAAGATTAAATCATTTTWTAGTCACTATTTGACTCAATACCTTGATTCCTATTTAGCACTGGAGAGTATGGAGGGATACTACTACAGAGACAACGTCTCCGTGGAGGAATACCAGGCCCAAATTAATGCTGCTTCRCTGGAGAAGGTCAAACAGTACAACAAGAGACTGAGGTACGGTGTGCGACACGCACACACAGGTTTAYATTTCTCTGCTAATCTCAAGTGATGGAGCAGATTTTTTTTGATCTAATATAAATCAAGATGTCCTTCTCAGCACTCGGCGGCGCCTCAAGGTGATTGGCTGGGAGGCATGCTGCCGGGACTGTTTTGTGATTGGTTGTAAACACACACGCAGCAGGGGGAGGCMGTGGTTGGATGCGAACACTCAGCATGTTACCAGGTTTGGTGCAGARCCTCTGTACAGCTGCTGCACTCAGTCACTTTACACCCCGTCGCTTTTCTGCACACTCGAGACAAGCCTCCCCTCCATCACACCACACACCACCCCCTGTGAGCAGCCAGGTGTGGGGAGTTTAATGAAGCAGAAACACGTGAGGAAGAGCTTTGGTTTATTTAACTAGTTGGCAAACACTCTTATTACACCAGATGCATTAAGAACATTTGTTAGCGACTGGTGCCGGTGCCATCTCCTCACAACTAAATATGAATTTGCCAACCTGATTTATCTGCAGCATTGACTAGGTGAGCACTGAACTGTAATATTTGATGGGGAAYATAGCTTATTTTTCTGGAAAAGAATTGGTATCTTTTTAAATGTCAAAAAGGTGATAATACTTTTGTTTGTGTCTATGTTTATGTAAGTGGTTGTGTATCTGTCTTTTACCAAAATAACACATGAACCACTAGATAAATTTTAGTTAAACTTTTAGAGCATAACTATCAAATACAGGTCTACCTCATTACCACCATAAGTCCTGCCAATTTAATATGGCCGACACTAATGGTGCGTTCACACCAAATGCGATTTCAGCATCAGGAGCATCAGGTTTACATACAAAGTCTATGGTGGACGCGCTTCAAGTAGCGTCGGGAAGTGCTGCGGCGCCTCAAGCGTGATTAGAGCAGCGCAATTTGAACGATTTGAACGATCTGAGCGTTCGACATGCTTGGTGCTCAAA